GTTGTATAACAGTGTTGTTGATGTTGTTGTTGATGTTATTGTTGTTGTTGATGCTGCTGTTGGATAGGAAGTTGTTGTAGCTTGAGAATGTCTGAGCTAGATTGTTGCTGTAGTCGTTGTTTATGCTGCCGTTGCTGTTGTGGTTGTGGCTAGCAAACGGTGTCCTTTTTCGCAAATCAGAATTCAAAAGATGATGTTTATGTTGACCGGCTGCCGAGAAGAAACTGCCGCCGCCACCACAACTTCCAGCGCCATCAACACCAGCGCCACCATCTGCATCTGCATCGTCTGAATCCGAATCTCCTATCATATTACCGAAATACTGCCTGGTCATTAAGTTCGGAATCTTTGGCCTAGCACCTCCATGGTGACTGATCGAATTGTTTGCCGACGAGTTGGATGAATTCGTTGATGTTGTTGTAGCTGATGTTGTTGCTGATGATGAGTTGTTGTTGCTGTTGAGTTGTTGAGGTAGATGGTGATTTGAATCCATACCTGAATGATTTGGCGGCTGTGAAGAGTAAACATCATTTGCAGAATGTTCAGGTTCATATTGGATGGTATCTTTATCGAGATCTAAGGAATTTTGTTGGTGTATGTGATGTTCACGTGACTGTTGTTGTTGTTCATTTTGTTGTTGTTGTTGATGCTCGTCGCCTGATTGATTTTTCTCAAATTTGTTGAGTTTCTTCAAGAAAGCGATCCTCTCTCTTTCCTGCATATCTCTAGCTCTCACCTCTATCACACTCCTCAATTCGCTGAGTACGCGGGCGGCATTTTTGCAGTCTTTACGCACTCCGTACTGTGGATGGATGAGTGGATGGATGGTTGGATTGTTCGGTTGGATAGGTGAATGAATGGATGGTTGACTAGATAGGTGGATGGTTATTTGGATGGATAGATAGATGTTTCGAAGCGAAGAGATGATTGAACGAATGTATGAAACATTACATAACAGATGAAACTTTCACATTATGTTCGAGATCATCATCTTCCTCAGTGGCTGTTCCATTCTTTCTGGGCATACTCAAGGCTTCAAAGACCTACGATGAAGACGATGAAGACGATGGAGATGATGAAGATGATGAAGATGATGAAAAGTAGCAACGAAGAAAGTAAAAATGAAGGTGATAGCGATCACTCACTTCGTCTTCCGTCTTAGGGACATCATCAGATGTGACTAGCACAGGTTCTTTGGCACTGCCAACATCATTACTGTCGCTTACAACGGCTTGCTCACGCACACTGGATGCCTGCTTTGAGGAGCCTATATCATGATACATTGTTGGAAATGAGTGGAAGAAGGTAAATGGAAAAATTTAACAAATTTTTAACAGAAAAATATAGATATTAATAAATACAATAACAGTGACATGATCACAATTACCTTCTAAATCCTTAGCTCTAGTCAATTTAGCAACTAATGATTCCAGCTCTTCCAAACAATCCTTGCTAGCTTTCAGCTCCTGGCCAATCTGCTTAGCTTCGGCAGCAATTAACTCAAAAGCGCGCATTTCAACTTCGCTATTTCCATCAGTGCCATTTTCATAATCTTCATTGTCGATATTGTCTTGGCTTTTTTTATTTGCATCCTCTGTTTTATGAGTCCTGTCAGTTAGGTTGTGAAGTTGCAAGCCCATCTCATTCTCCCTGGATTGTACCCTGTCCAGTTGGAATTGTTAGTCGATCAATCAATTAATCAAGCAACCATTCAATTTACCAACCAACCAATCAATCAGCCAATCAGCAACTGAAACCTCATGAGAGCAGACTGCAGATGCAACTTGAGACTGTGAACAACCACCTGCATACTTCTCAGGGCATTTCCGCGTGCACCCAACGGCCAGTCACTCCCAACCCTGCTCACGTGATCACTACTTCCGGTTTCGTCCGCCATCTTATTTTGCACTGTTTGAAACAAAGTCAGGCAGTTTTCTAGAGGTTTAGTTTGTCGATTGGTTTCCATCAGGAGTTGTTTCACTATGGATGAGATTTCATCGAACCCTGGCAAAAAGAAAACACCCAACCTATTTATAAAATCCGCAATACTAAGATACTAACTGACTGCTACTAACATAAAAAATACTGGCAACATTATTTACTACTAATACTACAAAATTACTATTAACCGAATTCGGTCTGATGATTGAATTCGTTAGTTTCAATGAGACAGTGCAGGCAGATGACTCTAAGCAGTTCACTCATGTGAGCTGACGTTAGCTCTATCAAGTACTGCGTTTGTGTATATGTTTGTATGTGTGTGTGTGTGTGTGTGAGCGCGTGAATGTGTGAGAGTATGTGTATGTGTGTATGTTGTGTGTTTGAGTGTGTGTCGTTACTGTGTGAAAATTAGATAGAGTGATGGAGGGCAAAAAAAATTAAACGAGACAACAGAGAAGAGAGTAAGAAGAAAAAAAGGATGAAGTAAGAGAGAATGAAGGAAGAGAGAGAGAAAGAGAGAGAGAGAGAAAGAGAGAGAGAGAGAGGAAGAGAAGAGAGAATGAGTGACTAACCTTAATTGATGATAAACTGTAACCGTCAGTCATAGCCTGAACTTTATCATCATCATAGTCATCATCAACATCAACATCATTATTCCTTAGTCTACAATCCCTATCATGATCTTTATCATTACTCATGTGGTTATGATCGTCATCGTCTTTGTCATCATCGTCATCTTCAACTCTGTAGATGAAGTCACAGAAGTGAGTGAGTTTATAGTTGGAAAGGCAATCTCTCACGCCACGCAGTTCAACGTTGTTTGGAAACGTGTTGTTTCAACAAAAATAAACAAATGAACACGTTAAGTTTTTAAAACTTGTTTCAATAAATACAATAATACCAACAATAATTTAATAATTAATATAATTAAAAAACAATATAGACAAAAAATATAAATCCTAATTTTCAGGTGAACCCAGTCGACTGCAGAAGCTGAAACTTTGCCCCCTTAACAAAAAAAACACCATCAAAACAAAGGATATAATTTCAGGATCTTCCTAACAGCCCTTCTCAGCAAGATCAGCAGTTTCCTGTTCCTGAAGTAGATGGATCTTCTGAGATCGAGGCCCTCCCTCTTGCTCCTCTGGCCAGCATTGACCCCTAACTCCAATCTGCTCAGTGGGACTGTCATTCTTTAGGTGTAGGTGGATGAACTTTTTGAACATGGATACGAATTTCAATTTGAAAAGTAGTACAGGTGTCAATGAAATAACAACGCATAGAATAAGAGACGCAAATGATTAATTTGGAGAATAATTGTAATACCATAAGAAGGCATCATAATGAGAACAAAAATATTAAACTAAATATCACATAAAATGTCAGAAAACGATAAGAACAAAAACATAGCAACCAATCATGATAGCCAGTCAAATCAAAGGTCAAAAAGAATTCCCAGTAGCCAAACCCAGCAAACCAAACTAACAATGTATACCCCCTCTTGATGATCTCGGCCTCCTGAACAGACAGCACCGACATACCAGACAACTTCCAGAACGTCTCCAGACAGCAGACCAGACGATCGAACGACTGATTGAACGCGTCTAGACAGCTGACAAGTCTACCAGCCCTGGAGAACTTCAGGGCCGTGGGCAGTAGGGCGGTTATGATGACCAACAGTGAGAGCACATCCAAGCCATACAAGCAATACGAGCATGAAAATAAACCACCGTTGTTTTTATCAAACTGGTGATGCGATGACGAGGAAGAAGATGATGACGACGAAGATAACGATGATGACGACGCAGATTTAGCGTAGAACATTCTAAATAGGGCATAACCGATAGTGATCATTAAGATGGCAACCTGTCTGCATAATCAAATCAAATAAATTCATGAACAAAAAATGTAAAATCACAATGATCTTTTTATAAAAACAGGTAAGTACATAAAATATTTAAGTAATATTTGTTACAATGCCAATGATGATTAAAATGGTGATGATGAAAATAAGTACATATACAACTCTAACAAAAACATCTGTCCAAAAAATGAGTTAGACGACGATGATGTCATTTTGTTAGAATTAGACAGCGATGACGCAAAGCTTTCCACATAAGTGGCATCTTCTTCGTAAAGAAGTCGCTTCTTTAGAGATGTTCCAACAACCTGGTCACAACTTCTTCTATGCTACGTTCGTTTTTGAGAGAAATAATGACGTGGTGATGATGTCATGATGATGTCATTTGATGATGTGTCAATTTCAAATGACGTGATGATGTTTTTCAATGTAATTTGATGGTGTAATTTGCTGATGAAAACATGATGGTATTTATCCAGGATTCAAATTTTAAATTGAAATAAACTTTTTAATAGCAAAAACCATTTAATAAAATCAATTTTTAATCAAATCTATTCAATATTGCCATTTAAATTAACAAAAATAACCAAAAAACAGTACCAATTCTTTCAGTTGCCTATACCAGGACTCATCAAAGACATACGACATAAAACTTCTTTTCAATCTACACCACAGAGATTTCTTTTTAAAATAATATAATATAACATCAATAAGTAACTATAACATCAATAATTATAATTAATTACAATATTATGATAATTAAAATTATATTGTTCGTGGTAACATTGTTATTTATTCCATTAATTAAAAATTACACTTTAATTTAATAGTATAAACATCTAATTAATTTATTAAAAACATTTTCATTGAACAATCCAATAAATAAACTAAATCAAATGCATCAATAAAAATAGATGATTGTTGGATTGACAAATGTTGGCCCTTTGAAAAAAATTTTACTTTGAAAGATGATGTCACTTTCTGTGACCTATCATTTGTTGTGTTGCCATCTTTCGATTTGTCAGAATCAGAAGATTTTTTAGCATTTACACAACAATCAGTTGAACTGTTGAATGTTTTTGCTTCAAACTCCACATTTCTAAATCCACTTTCCACAACGTGTTGATAGAGGGGCGAATTCTTAATTAAAATATCGCAATTAATTTCAATAAATTTTATTTACCCTTTTTTACCGATTTAAATTTTAAATTAAAAATTCAATTACCAAATCAAAATCAGTCAAAACAAGAAAAACCGTTGGTTAATTTAAAATAAATTAAATGTTAAATAATCACAAATCACACAAACACAAACCTCAAATATGACATCAACCTCCTCATCTTCCATATTTTATGCTTCTCACACTAATTCCTAAATAATATTTAACAACTAATCTGTAAAAAAAAATTGAATTACTATTACACGAAATCGAATAATTAAAAAACACGAACATTAGAAAAGCTGCAAACGAACCGTGGAATTTAAAAGTAAATATTTTTTTGTAAAATCTAGGGGAGGCCTATCTACTAATATACATTTTCTTATGGGTTGAAGCAGAGATATGCAAAGAACCTCAATTAAAAAGTAAGCGAAGGCCGTTATATTTATTCTAGTTATATTTTCCGTAATTAGTCAGAGGTAAGCCTCGGTGGCCAGTGGTGGCCAATGGTGAACCGGCAATGGTTTACTATCCGGACGGCAATGGTTTACTATCTGCACGGTAATGATTTACTATGCGGCACGGTCATAGTCTACTATCCATCCGCACGGCAACGGTTTACTATCCTGTGCCCTGGCTGTCGGTGAACCTCTGTGCACGATGGGAAAATGAATGGTGACTTTCGACCATCGAACCATTAACAATTTTATATAGATTAGTTAAGGTAATTGAATAGGTAGATAGGATTTTTTTAAGTAAGCAATTTGATATGCAGGCACCGCTAAGCTTTCTGATAAGAATCTTCTTTTTCTCCATCAACACGGGCTGTGTTTCAACAACAATCTCGAGGAGGACTGGCACCAGTTTTGGAGGACAACGTAGGAACCGGACCGCATTCAACAATCTGCCTGTGTCGAATAGGCATTTTACATTTTACTTTCTTTATTATTTTAAAATATTATATATTTGACATTATTTTTATGTTTTAATTTTTTTGCTACTAAGATTCTAACATTTATTTATTACTATGTAAATAAAAAAATTTGTCTACAAAATGATGAGAGGTGGGCAGTGGTGGGCGTCAGTACGTTTCAGATGGTGGTCTCATGATTTACATTTGATGATGGTGGTGTAGGAAGAACCAGCTCGTTGGCTGTTCCACTGACACTCTGCAGTTCGGATGACATCTTGTGTGCCGACCAGATGGTGGTGGTCGGTGCAATGGATTACAGTAACGACGATTTTATTTTTGAAGTAAGTTTTAGTTTCGTTTTTTATTTTTTTCATTCGTTCATTTTATCACTCAACCTTTTAAATTATTCTTCCATTAATTGATTCGTTAATTCATTCAATTCATTAATTGAATCATTGATTGATAAACTAATTCATTCATTCACTCATTCATTCAACTAATTATTATTCAATCATTCAGTTAATCATTTATTCGTTCGTTCGTTCCTTTGCTCCTTGATTAAATCATAAAACCTCTTTGTTTAATTTTTTTAAACCAGAAAATTCCAAACAGAAGCATTCAAAGCGTCGAAAATAAATTCAGGAAAACTAACAATAAGGTGCTGATGAATTTGCGTGTGTGAGTGTATGTGTGAGAGTGTTTGTGCGCGTATATGTAAGTGTGTTTGTACGTGTGTGTGTGTGAATGTGTGTTTGCATGTGTGAGTGTGTCTGTGCGTGTATGTGTAAATGTGTTTGTCTTTGAGTTTGCAATGAAACAAAGAAACATAATTAACAATAAATCAAAATAATTCATTATTGATATAAAAATAAAAATATATTTAAAAGTAAATATAATTAAATTTATTAAAAACTTATAAACGTTTAAACTATGATTAAAAAAATGGATTTACAATGAAAAAAACCATACATAATACTCAAATTTGAAGAAAAAAAACATTCTGAAAACGTCAGAAAATAATACTAACAAAAATAAACTCCAGATAAAAAAAAATATATAAAATATATATATATACTATTGGTAAAACATTACCCGCCATAGGCCAGACGTACGTTTCGTCTCTCAGGAGACTGACTCGTCAGTAGCCTACCGAATAAGGTTTAGAGATAACACAAACTCAATTGTTGCAACCAAGAAACGCAAATTGAAATGTCGAGAGTCGAGACCAATAGGTAAGAACAACATCCCGTGGTCACAAGGTTTAAGAATATATATACGTACATATATACATATATTTTTACAATATTCTATAAATTCTTCCGTTAATATTGGCGCCAAACATTCGGTAGAATTTATAGAATATTGTAAAAATTATGGTCTTTTACCAACATATACATATATATATATATATGTTTGGTATAATCATAATTGATGTTATTATTAATAAAACGACGATCTTCTAATTCTTTGATATGTAACAAATATTGTTGTAGACATGATGATAAATAAAAGTTTAATTATATCGAAATAATAACTGAAAGAAGCATTCCAATAAGAATAATATAAGTGAATGATGATGAATATTATGAATAAATAATAAATAAATGTATCAGCGAATGAATGAACGAACGAATGAATGAATGAACGAATAAATGAATGAACAAATAAATGAACAAATGAACGAATGAACAAATAGATAAAACACTTACACAAACACACACACACACCAAAAAAAACTGTATTGACAATGTAAATCAAACAATCTGCAAGTGTAACATTCATCTCTACACGCGCCAAGTCGAAAACTTTGAAAAATATTACAACTAATAAAAATATCGAAACTTATATATAAACAAATAGTAATAATAATAATTAGGTAAAATACATACATTATACTAAGTTTTCGGATATCGGGTAAACTGATTCGTTATAGTAGTGTCCAGCCAGTAAGTTCGCCATTTAACCAAATTCTGAACGTAGACCTACTATTCCCGACTCGATATAACACAAATGTTTATAAATATAAATAAGATTTTTATAAATAAAAATCATTTTGCAAAAATTAAAAAAAAATTGTATACATTATTACTACAACTGAAATAAAGAATGAATGAACGGAAGAATGACGAAACGAATGAATGAATGATTGAATGAATAAATGAATGAATGAATGAACGAATGAATGACGAAACGAATGAATGAATGATTGAATGAATAAATGAATGAATGAATGAACGAATGAATGAACGAATGAATGAACGAACGAATGAATGAACTAACAGATGAATGAACGAACGAACAAACAGATGAAAAAAGTAAACGAAGAAAAACAAATGATCAACCAGTAAGCTAGTGCAAATCAATTATAACTGACACATCCAACTAGCCACTATTTTCATTATTTAAAATAATATTCTAAATAATTTAATTATTATTATTTACGCTCATGAAAACAATAAAATAATCGTCAATTAACTTTTCATCATTTTAGTTACATCAAAAAATGAAGTAGAATTTATTGAACAACTGGTTTGTACCAGACACATACACACACAGACACACACACATACACATACACACACACGCCAACACGCACAGACACACAAGTACACACACACAAACACATAATATATTGTACATTTATAAGATATATGTATACAATAAAAAATGCCTCTAGACCGAAGTTAACTTTGAACAATTTAATAAAGCCAATTTGTATTAAAAAAATTTGAAAAAATATATGAACCAATAAATAAAAAAATACACATACCCACTCACACCCACACACATACGCACACACTCACTCACACAGACACACAAACAACACATTCATTTGGTCAGTTAGAACATAAATAAATTTGTATACCAATACTTTCCAATAAACTGAAAAAAATGAACGAGTAAATTAATTAATTAACTAATTAATTAATGAGTGAATGAATAAGTGAAATAAAACAACTAAATGAATGAATGAATGAATGAAGTAAAATTTTGAAAGGACAAAGCAATATATTAACAATTTATAAATAATAATAATAATTACTTTTATAATGAAGTATAATTAAAGTTAAGCTACCCATTGCAGATCGAAGTAAAAATACGGATCGGTGCTAGTTAGAAAAATATTACGTGACGAATTTTAATTTTACTACACAATAAATACGTGTGTGTGTGTGCGTGCGTGTGTGTAAGTGTGTGTGTGTATATGTGTGTACACAAATCTACACAATTAATTTCTTTAAAGTATATAACAGTCTACATGTATAAATAAATACTAACACGCAATATGGTACAAGACATGTTCAGTGTGTTTATAAGTGGATTTATTGTATGTTTGAGTATGTGTCTCTCTCTCTCTCCCTCTCCCTCCCTGTGTGTGCGTGTGTGTATCTGTGTGTGTATTTGTAGGTATATGTGTGTATTCTAGAATGTGTGTTTGTATGTATGTGTGCATGTGAAAACGTATTTATATGAGTGTCGATAGTCCAAAAATCGTCAAAAGGAAGCTTGGAAAAACTGCCTGAAATCAAAAGACACGCACGTACACACACACGCACAAATAAACGTACGCACATATATATACACAGAACCGCAAAATATAATCATCACATTAACAACAACAACAATAACAACAACAACAACAACAGCAATGAATAGATAGATACAAATAATAAATACAATAATGACAACGACAACAAAAACTTGACACATGGCAGCAGTAATATACCAGTGGCTGTGGCAGTTGCAGCAATGGTAGCAAGAGTAGTGACTTCAGTAGCAGTAGTAACTGTAGAAATGGCATATTAGTAGCAGTAGTAGTAGCAGTGATAGGATTAAAAGCGGCAGTTGTAGTAGTAGTAGTAAACGAGTTAATAGCAGTAATTAATTAAGCTATTAATTAATTAATAGCAACAAAAAGATCCAACAGTAGTTCTTCAAATTAATATCTTTAACGTTTGAACTATCTCTGTAATATATAAACCAGACAACATGACATACATATACAAACACACCCACACACAGACACACTTATAAACACACACACACACACAGACACACACACACATAAACACCCACACAGACACACACACACACACACAATGAATATTTTTGATATCTTTATTACAATTTTATTATTTTTATTGACGAGAATAACAAAAAAGAATTCTCAGACAACGCAACGTCAAAAAATATTTGCATGTAAAAAAATAGCAAATACTCATTTAAACAAAGGATCAACAATTTTTTTAAATATCTTAAATGCATTTTATAAGTATTTCTTTGTGCTTGTGTGTGTGTGTATGTGTGTTTAAGCGTGTGCGTGTAAGTGTGTCTGTCTGCGTGTATACAGTCGTGAGGGTTGTCTTTCTTTCAACAATGGGATATTATCTCAAGTTGAATTTTTACTAAAAAAAAAATGATAACAAGCATGATAATATGTTTAACAGATGAAGGAGTACAATTGCCAAAAATATGTACGTACGTGTGTGTGTGTGTGTGTACGTGCGTGCGTGTGTGTTGTGAGTATTTCCGTGTGTGCGTGTGTGAGTATTTGCGTTTGTGTGCATGAAAAAACGTGCTTCAGAACGTGTGTGAAGTTTAATCAAATAAAAGCGATACAAAAATACATTAAAACTTAAATATTGCAGGCGTAACTTTTACTAAAGTAATCCAACAAGAACATGTTCACGTACATAAAATTCACGCTAGTATTCAATTCACACACGCACGTCAACATTCACACGTACAGCAGTATTCATCATTCAAACATTCATATACAAAACAACCTTACGTAACAACAGTCATATGCAAGAAAACAGATACAACATAATGTATACAAATGTAATGTACACACACACACACACACACACACACACACACACACACACACACACACACACACACACACACACACGTCCTCACAAAAAGACACACACACACACACTTACATAGATGAATGCACGCATACTAACACGCATACATCTATACATGCATACGTACATGTAAACAAATGTAAGATTTTTAAAAAGCGAGCACTGGTATATTAGCTTATTATAATTTCATTTAAAGATGAACTATTTATGAGCTAAGATAGAACAGGCGTGCATACAAACATACACACACACAGACATAAATACATACAAACATACTAATAAACTAACACACGTACAACGTCATGCGTATAAACGTACATACATACAAAAACCAAACATAAAAACTTGCACACAAACAAACATCATATACAAACAAACGCATGTATACATACAAACGCGTAAAAATAGAAATACATACACATACACATATGCAAACAAAACTCACGCACATACCTTATAAACAACTTAATAAGCAATCAACATAGCTCAATTTAAAACAGTATCTACATAGGAGTAGAATGATCAACAATAAAATAATTTTGTAAACACGTCCTCACCATTTTTCTCATCATCATCATTTTTTTCACCATTATCATCTTCATCTTCAACATCATATTGTAAAATCTATCTAAGTTTCACTGCTGAAATAATAACAATAATAATAACAATAATAATAATAATAATAATAATAATAATAATAATAATAATAATAATAATGATAATAATACTATATTTATTTACCAGGATTGAATTTATATAAGCCTAAAAAATATTAATCTGTAGTAGGGTGCATTGGTAATAAATTTGTTTAATATATATATATATATATATACTGCATGATCTTTTCATACTTTATATTTGTTTAACACATTCCAAAATAAATAGTTGAAAGTCTGTCTTACTGCGAAATCAATCATCAAAAAACAAATTTTCATCATCTTCTTCTTCCTCCTCGTCCTCACCATTTTTCTCATCATCATCATTTTTTTCACCATTATCATCTTCATCTTCAACATCATATCTTCACGCGATCCTCAACTCATCATCATCAAAACATCAACAACATTTCAATGACGCCATCGTCTTCATCCTCATTTTATTATCTATCATCATCATACTCATACTTCCACTTCATCATCATCTTCACCATCATCTTCCTCATCATCCTCACAACCAACACCACTATCTCACCCTCCTCAACTCATCATCATCAACATCATCAACACTATTCCGATGACGTCATCGTCGTCATCCTCATTTTATCATTATCTCCATCATCGTATCTTCATATCATCTCAGCAATTATAACAAAACAATTCAACTCATCATCGTCACCATATCTTCACATCATCTCCATCCTCATCATCTCCCTCTCCTCATCATCTCCATCCTCACCCCTGATAAACGTTATCAGTATCGACGATGATTTTGACGTAAGTGACTGGGAAGTACCCGGTCCTTCCATGCACGCAGCCCTCCAGCCAGTTCTCATCGATGTGCGAGATGAGTTTGATGTCGTCGCCTTCCTTGAACGCCAGCTCGCCAGGGTTCTCCGCCTCAAAATCGTACAAGGCTTCGCAGTGCGCTTCTGTGTGTGTGTGTGTGTGTGTAGATGTTTGTTTGTGTGTATGTGTGTGTAGATGTTTGTGTGTGTGTGCATGGTGTGTGTGTGTGTGTGTGTGTGGTGTGTGTCTGCAGATATTTGTGTTTGTGTGTGTGCGTGGTGTATGTGTCTGTAGATGTTTGTATGTGTGTGTGTGTGTGTGTGTGTGTGTGTGTGTGTGTGTATGTGATAAGGCGTGTGTTTTCATGTGCGTGCTGATGTGTGTCTGCGTGTACAGCAATATTAAATCTTCCTTCACCTCTAGCAGCAGGGACAGGCGGGGCAGCAGCAGCAGCAGCGGTGGTGGCGGCGGTAGCTGCTGCGTAGCCCGAGGAGCCGTTCCCGTAGCTGGGTGTGGAAGCTGTCGTAGGGCTGTAATCGTTCTGCCTGAAGGAAGATTTCTTGGCAACGTACTCCTTCTTCGGCTTCGTCGAGGCTTCCTGGCATCTGAGTGAGTGAGCGAATGAATGAATGAGTGAATGAATGAGTGAATGAATGGATGGATGAATGAATGAATGATTGAACGAACGAATGAATGAATGAATGAATGAATGAATGAATGAATGAATGAATGAATGAATGAATGAATGAATGAATGAATGAATGAATGAATGAATGAATGAGTAGTCAAGAAGGTCAGCTAACGAGTGACTAAATTAGATGATGAGAAAAAGAGCGAGATCTAAAACTTGTAAGGAAGTCACGATCACCATCATTGTCATCGTTATCATCATCCACATAATAAAGATCACCATCTTCATCATCGTCACCATCATCGTCTTCACCATCGTCATCATCATCGTCTTCATCATCGTCATCACCATCGTCATCATCATCACAACAAACTTCTGATTAAGTTTTGACGATAGTTGTTGTAGGATGTCGGCTGACTGCCTATGGTAGTTCAACTCGGCCTCAACAAAAGACGACAGCTGCAGCAACTGCTCCACCTGTTTTGGTAGTGGGTGGTTGTGGCTGTTAGTGGCTGTGGTTGCTAGTGGTTGGTTGCGGTTGTTGATGGAAGAGA